TACTTTAGCTAGAAGGGAAAGTAAAAGAATTGCTCCCACTATGATTGTAATAGTTATTAAATATATTTTTAGGGGGTATTCTGTAGGTGTTATATTTACTGTACCTCCTTTAATGACAATTCCTCCTTCTGAACCACTATCACTATGTAAACCACCCCCACTATGTGAATTAAGTTCCCTTTCTTCTTTTTCTTCTTCATCGCAACCATCACCATGGGGAACATCTAAAACACCCTTTGGAGTTGTTGTATTACTACATCCACTATAAGGATTTAAAAAATAAAAAATACCTTCATTATTTTGTGGAAAAAATCTTACACCATTATTTTTTTGTCCATGCAGTTCAAGCCATCGATGTGCAGGGGAATATACTTCGTCAGGAGCTAATGTCATAATAATTGTCTTGAATTCGAAAATTTCTTGATTAATTGTTGATACTGTGTAACCAGAAAAATTAATTTTACGATCAGTAATTAAAAGAATAAACACAGGGTTTTAGCATCTAAAGTTGTATCTTTGGAGATTTCCGAAGTATTATATTTAATACATGACTTATCTTTATATCTAATTGTTCTTTTATAATCTTGAAATTATGAGTGTTCTGAAGATTCCGCTTAACTGAATTTTTTATTGCATTTCGATATTTTATGAGTATTTGTTCCTATAGACAACATTTCTGCTCTTTAGCTAGATTTAACTGTAGATAACTCTTCCCTTTTTTTTTAGATCCCTGTACTCAATATTCTTAGATATAAATGTATTAATGAATCCCATTACACTTTAATGACAGCAAGCTGTTTATTTTTGTCCCAATACTAGAAAATAAATCTGATAAATTATCTTCAAAGTACAAACTTTATTTTCGTTTTTAGTTTTTTATTCCATCACATTTATTATCTATAAGTGTCTTATTATGCTTTCATTAGATCAGTTCGGAAATTGAATTGCTAAATCTTACGCCAAGTTTAGAATATAAATATAAATAAACAGATATATACAAAGATGCATCTGAAGAAGCGTCAAAAGACACATGAAATGCTTTTTATATATTAATTTTAATTATGTCCTTTTTTCTTTTTCTATCTATACAAACAGTCTGAAAAAATAATTTATTAATATTTGTATACAAAACTTATTTGTGGGATTATATATTTCTCTTACATGGAATTGGGTTAGTGTAGGTTAATAGTCATAATAATGTGTTATAAAAAAACATGATTTAACCCTTTAATGAAGTGTTCAAAAAGTGAACATACGAGCCGCTTAAATTAATAACATTTTCACCTGTATAATAATTTACAAGGATAGCAGTAAGATAGATAGGCTCAACAACACATGTTTCAAAATTTTGTAACGTTTAGATGTGTACAACAAGTGTATATAGAATGGACTGATACACATCAATGAATGTTTGAATGTCATTGATAATATAAAGCATTCATCCTTTACAAAAATAAATAAATAAAATAAGACTTCATTAATTTAATTAGTAGCACTAATCAACAAAATATTTTTTATAAATTATTACGTTAATTTTTTATTATAGATAATGAGACAAATGTTTATTATTGTATATTTTTTGGAGGGTAATTTTCTTTCATTTTTCTTGTTCAAGTTAGTATAACATTTATAAATAATGTTATCTATAATAAATAAAAAAGTATCATATTTTTTTTACATTTAGCTCTTTAAATATTTATGCTTATGTATCATTTCTGTTATTATGGTGGTGTGTGTTGAATTTCATGTTTTTATATATGCTATCGAATAACTAATTGATGGAATGGTGCGAAATTCATCTTAAAATTGTAAGAAATATTTTGTATTAAATGTGTTCTGTTTGATACTTAAAAATGGTATTATGTTATCCTCGTATATTATATATTTTTATTTTTTCTTTATTTAAATACATGCTATTGACTAAGCGAGGTATAGATTCATAATTATACTTGTGAATGCGTGTGTGGCAACATACCTTATTTGTACTGATAATTAATTCTGTTTTAAATATGCCTCAAATTTTAGAATGAAAATTAAGTTAGATCATAACGAGATTAACAATAATTAGATTATATAAATGGTAATAAAATTAATTTTTTTTTCTTATTTTTTCAATTATTAACTTGTACGTTTACAAAAGAATTAATATTTACGGTACTAAAAAATACAAAAAAATGAGCCCAAACATTATATATATTATAAACTCATTGTGCGTTGTCTGAAAAATATGAGGAAAAAAAAAACAAAAGTGAATTGTGGTTTAAAATAATATTGTTTTAACCAATTGAAAATTAATGGCTTGCAGTTAAACCATTTAAACATTTGGTCTTTTTATTTTTACACTTCTACTATGACAAAGTTTTTTCAATATTATCAAAAAGCGTTACCATTATTTTCAAGTAAAAAAAGTATGATTTGATAAAAGCGAATTTCATAATATTTTTATAGGACTTTTTTTAAAAAAATTATTTATATTTA